AATTCAAACTGTAAAAAAAAAAAAAAAAAAATAATGTCCGTAATTGGATCGTGAAAGAGATTCTGTGCACACGCCTCAACATACAGACTTTAACCACACTAATTAGCATCCCTCGATATTTAACGGCAAGCAGGGGTAAAAAACAGGCTGTCGTCCCCGTTTTCCGTCGTGCTGACTACATCGCGATCTGTATAAAGGTCAAGTCAATCCATTGACGCGGTCGAAAAATTACCTTGCGGGCAAATATCCCCCGAGCGAGAGAGGTGTACACGTTAACGTCACCCTCATGCTCGTTACACGCAGCGAGGGTGAGATCGGAGGAAAAAAAAAAAAACAAATGTACGCGCGCGCGTATATACACGGCGTGTGTATATGCGAGGGACTCTCCTTTCGGTAATCGATACTAATTAGAACGAGGCAAAGTTTCGAGCCGTGTGCCGGCGTTCGCTTCGACGGCAGCGCGCGCTCGCCTCCCGCCCCCGATGCGTGCGTATCCCTCCGTCCTTTCCCTCCCAGCCTATCCCCGTTCGCCGCTACGTTCTTCGACGAGGTTAATACCGACGAGACGCGTATACGTACAATGTATTGTAGGCTTTCGTAGGATTTATCCAGCCATTATATCGGCTGGACGAACGAGCGAGCGAGCGAGCGAGCGAGTGTTCTCGACATAAATGGGCCCTATCACTGTCACACGAACAAAGCGGCGGCCCCGACGTGGTTATGACGGCAACGCGATACCCGCGCGCTTTCGAGTAATAATATAATAATAATCGCGCGGTTGTTTCGTCCGTCGTCGTTGAACCGCGAGAGATCGTTTCTTCGTTGAGCTCTCTTTTCCGTTCCCCGTTGATGAATAGGACAGCGCGGGAGAGAAACCGCAGAGAGCCGTATAAAACCGGATACATCAGGCGAATCTGAATATGGATTTCATTCTTTCATATCGGCGGCTTTTTGTGCAATTATTTTTGCCTCCTCCTTCTCCTCTTGCCCTTTTTACCGTTGTGTACCCCCTTGTCTTCTTTGTACGCGCGCCTACATCCTTGTCTCTTCGACAATGTGTTTTACGACATCCTTCTCTATCCGGATTTGTTTTTTTTTTTTTTTTTTTTTTTTTTGTATATCTCAATGCAAATGAAGCTTTTTGCTAAAACAAGCAAACCTTCTATCTTATTTATGAAAAAAAAAAAAAAACTATGTACAAAAGTACTAGGAACGCTACCGTTTAATAATTTGCAGCAAAATTTTATTTTACAGAGTAAGTTTTTCAAGAGAGAAAATTTCTCATCTTTTTCCCACAGTCGGTGTCCACTACAAGCAATATTCCTTCGGGGAATACGCAAGAAGATCCACAAAACGATGGACGACTACTACCTATTGTCCGCGGCTGTTACGTCCTTGACCGCTTTAAACCGATCGGCCGATATCGATTGTGAGACTGCTCACCGCAAAACTATATACTATCGGTTACTGTCCGAGCAATCAGTCGCTTCCGCTTTAGAAGAGATGCTGCTGATTACACCACACCGCTCGTTCGAAAATTGTTTCGTAATAACGCTTCTGAGAAACTACGGAGAATACATTACATCGTAAAATCGAAAAAATCTTAAAAACAGACAGCGAGGAGCCATTAAACCACCAGACAGATATAAGTTTCAAGCGTGCCTGGAACTGAGACGAGACACTTGAGCGAGAATTTTGAACTGCGGCGATCGTAACATTTTATCAATAAAACTGGAATTCAAACTGTAAAAAAAAAAAAAAAAAAAAAATTTGATTGATTTCTATAAATGTTTTGCGAAAGAATTTTATTGCATTTTTTCTTCAGCATATAGGCGTGTAAACGTTACATATTTAAAATATCATAAAGATATCCTATACATATGTACGGATAAGAATAATCGGGTAGCCAATACCCCGAGTATCTCTTCTCGAGCGCTTAAAAGAGACGAAATAGCGTAAGCGCTCGGCTCCGTCTTGATGGCAATATCGGGCTGTTTCGATCGGACGCGGTAAAATCGACTGTTTGACGACAGGCTCATCCTCATCGTAAACACGATGGCGGTTTCTCGCAATGCCAAGAGCTATATACGTAAAGGAACGCGCGCTTGTTTCCGGGGTTACTTCTGGCTTCGTCATGGAAGGATCAAATCGCCGCGGCGTAGCTGTTCATGGAATGCACGTATACGATTTCGATCTCTCGCGGAGAGGTAATCCCGGTTACGAGGAGTGCTACGACATTTCCGAGTACACAAGATAACACCCGGAGAACGACGAAAGAGCGGGGCGCGTCGACGAGAGTATCCGTGAAAATGATTCTCTCTCTCTCTCTCTCTGTCTCTCTCTCTTTCTCTCGAGAGAAGGACCGTAAACCGTGGCCAAACAAACCCTGAAATAGCTTAAAGTCGACTCTGACGACGAGCTTCGCTGACTGCTGACGCGCATCGCGCGCGTCTCTGTCTGTATTCTCGGTCCGCAAATAAATAATAAACGTTACACCACACGCGCGCGCGCACACACCACGAGTTCTTCGTGCACCCTGGACCGAAACTATCATCGGTCCCCTTTACGACCGACGAGTGCTTCGGAAAACGGCCAACGGATGAGAACGAAAGTAACCGGTCGGATCCGGGTAAAGTGGTTACACCGTGTTCTCTTCTAAAACGCCTACTTCGATGTACGTTATAAAGAACGGACCCTCTTCCCTTTCACCAACACAAACCATATTCGATCCTATCGTAGAATCAAACGCTTCTTTTTGTTCATATTTTTTCTTGGTCTTGGTGCGAATTACTTGATTCTGTCATCGACTTTTTAAACGCGTCTTCGAAAAATAAATTTCGACGCTCGCAAGCAAATTTTTTTGATTCAAACGTCATCTTTCGACGAGAGATGTGTTCGAATTATCGGACGTTTAGAGTTAAAGAGCTTCGACTTGAGATAAAAAATTATTCGTCACAGCTGGCTTAGTCTAAAATTTATATTTTGATAAAAGAAATTTTGTTCGTTCGAAGGGTTGAAAATTCTGGAGTTACGCGTAAAATCGTACTCTTGCCGATATACATATTTTCGGTTATATCGCGCGTATCGGTCACGTTAATTACCATATTCCAAATGGTAGAACGCGCGTTTCAGCCACTTTTCCAAACGATCCCTCTCGGCTCTCTCCCCGTCGTCGATACAAACTATGATCGCCGTCTCCTTCCTTCGTTGGTGCCCTAAGGGCAGCTGGGAGCGCTTCCGAGCCCCAAAAGCCACACCCTCGATTCTCATTAAGATTTAGCGTGTAAACGAGCGTTGCCCGTGTCCGGACGGTGCTACTAATCGAACCCCTCGAGCCGAAAGAATTGAAAACAACGCGTTCGAGGCTTTTAAGAGAACGAGATATCGGGACCCGGCATTTATAAGGGCATTGGAGCAAGACGCTCGGGCTGGTTGTCTGGTCGATTTACATTTAACGAAATTAGCTATTAGGTGCAACCGGCGCGATCATCAGTAAATTAATAAAAAAAAAAAAAATAGAAAAAAAAAAAAATAAACGATTATCATCACGCGCCAAAGGACAAAAAGAATCGAATGCGCTGTAATAATAAAATAATCTAAGACAAAGTTGCTAAGTTTGAATAAATTTTTCTTACCAGCCGTGTAATAGCAAAACATTTTTTCTATGTATAAAATTGCGAAAACTCCTTTTCAAAAACTGTCTTTCCGAAACAAAAGAAGATTGTCATTTCGAACGTATGTGGAAATAAGAAAAATGGGAAAGTGTTGGATTTCAATCTTGTGTCGATTAATTAATAAAAAAGAATGACGAGGTTGTTCGCGGCACAGACGGCTGGTGGTATAGTTTTCAAGAGTTAAGTTCGAACACAGAGAGAGAGAGCCCAACTCTCACTTGCTTGGCTTTCCTCCTGACTTGGTTCGCGCGACGAGGCTACACGGCTTCTCTCTCGTCCTCCCCGTATCCTGTGTTGTTTCCCCCCTCCCCCCCTNCCGCCGCCGCCGCCCCCTGTTCCGCGCTACCGTCCGCGTTTCACCCTCCGTGTCTCATCCTCCTCCCGGGACCCTTTCTCGTCCTCTCCCCCTCTATAATTTTCACCCGAATACCTGCTCTAATTATAGGTGGTTCGTCACGGCGCGGCGAGTATCTTTCCTCTCTCGTCGGGTGTCGGTAGCCGCGCGGCTCCAGCCGCGTCGTGTTGTACCGGCGGCTCGTATATCGTCGCGAGATATTTCATCGTTCACCCGGTAAGATGATCCATAACGCGTCGGCCGCCGAGAGTCATCTCCCGATAACACACGGACAGCTCTCCCAGCTCCGGCTTACCTTGGAGTCAGCGTGGTAACGGGCTCGGCGTCACACACAAAATCGGAGCCCGATGATTTTACACGGGCGACCGCCGCAAGATGTTGTTGGGATCCCCGCGGAAAGATGTATCGTCGTGCACACGTTCGTCTGAGAATCGCACGTGTTATTATTACAACCTTTTGCGGGCATCAATTATCAAAGTTGAGGAAGAGAAATTTTTTGATTTTATTATTTTTGTTTCATTTGGATTTTTTCTTGAGAAGAAACATATAAAAGAGCGAAAGGAGGTCGTCGAGTTGACGAAATATCTTTAATGCGCATATCTGTAAAAATGCGCGTCAAAATGCGTATCGAGGTGAACACAAAAATCAACGAGAAGAACACGCGATTGAATAAAACGCGAAAAAGAGCACACGGTTGTTTTTTTTTTTTTTTTTTTTCAATTCGCTGATCGCTCGCTCGCGGTTGTCGAACGGCGCGCCCAGTTCGTGCGCGCAATGAAGCGAGGATTAATTAAATTACTCAATGCGCAACCGGGGCCTTATTTATACCGAGCGTATTCTGGCTTACAGGTACTTGGGGCTGGAGCCGAGGCTGACATCCGGCCCGGTTCAAGGGAGCGGCGTAGATTCGCAAATCGCCGGCGCGGGTGTGATCGGACCGGCGAGCGCCGAAAAGAACTGTAAGAACGTGTACCTGACCACCAAGCAGCAGACAATATGCTCCCGCTCGCCGCCCGTTCTGCAGGTATTTACCTCGTGCCGGGGGCCCCGCGAGGGTCTCTCTTTTTCTCTCTTTCTCTTTCTCGGATTAATGCCCGAGGAGGCACGCGGCTAATTCGATTCGCGGGACCTGCGACCGCGTGCCGAACGAAATATAATGGCCTTCGCCGACGCAGGTTTGTCCGAAATCGTTCGACCCGCTTACACTTCTGAGAAAGCTCTCGTTCTAAGATTTTTTTTTTTTTTTGATAATCTTTTGCTTCTCTTCCGCGTAGAATAGGGAGGATGTGTCGCGATTATAGTAACGTTAATGCCGCGCGTGGCCACAAAAATTTTGCGACACACAAGAAAATCACGAACAAGAAATTGACGGTTTCTCCCGTCGTGTATATTCTTTGTAACAGATTCGTGGACTTTCCGGTTGAACAATTCTCTCCGATCGAGTCTGCACAATAATTGATTTTTACGAATTCCGAGTTAACTTTTGATAAATCGCAAACAACAAAATAATTAAGCGACAATCAGCGTATTTGAAAAAACGTATATATTTTCATCGTATATAATTGTAGACGACGCGATCTCCGTTTGTTTAATATCGCATATACGTTGCGGAATAAGAGAAAGCTCTCGCGCGATTCGGGACGCGATTCCCGAACGCGGAAGATTTACAGTTATGTTCGCACGGCGACAGGTAAGTATACGAACATCTTTAAAACACCGAACACATTTATTTTCCGATTAGGCATCGACGCGCGGTGATGATTTCGGCGCGCACGGTGAGAAAACGAAAACCCCGCCGCACACACATAGTGTGCAGTCGTCGTCACCCAAGCGCGTTTCACCCCCCGAAATCGCGTTTACCTTTCCTTAATGCACAAAACTTGTTCGGGACGAACGCGGAGACGGTCGTCTAAGAATCCGGAGAGGTGCCGGTTTCCGTAGGTAAACCCGGGGAACCGCAAAGCTTCGATACTTCTTTGATCGCGCCGCCGACAGAGTCCCCCGCTTTTCCGAGTGCGAGAGCCGTACCGACAAAAGGTTGTTCGAGAGCATGAATATTCATACGTCAATCCGGCTATCGAAGTTTAATTTTTTAACGAGCGCGATCGAACCCGTTAAGAGAAACGGCTGGGAATGCCTTCCGCGACGGCACACGGAAGAGAATGTCCCTCTATAATATTATATTCGAGATCTACAGCTGTATTACTGCGCAGTCGCGTGATTTACGCGAGTACATATCGAGAAGTGTGTCGGTGCGTTTTTTTGCGCCAACTAAAACCGCTTGACCGAGAATTCGCATGCGATTCTATTCTCGATCGAGATAATGTTGATAATAACACGCTCTTAAGAATTTTTATGATAAAATAAAAAAACTAATAAATAAATCTTATTTACAAAATTAGCGCATAGCATTAGTGAATTATTTTTCAAAGCACGGGGCAATTTATTTAAACAACGATGTATGTTATTAAATTTTTGTTATCGCCGAGGCTTCTTCGTACACGTACACAGAAACGTGGTCCTGATAAAAAAAATGGGGAGAGACTCCTGTTTGAACAGTGGCTTGTTCTTATGCGCGAAGGAGCGCCGTCGAAGCATCCGGAGAAGCGGCACTTCTTTTGATTCTTCAGCTTTCACCGTCTTATTTTGCAGGCGGTGAGCGCGGGCGCCAGACTCGCCATAGAGGAGTGTCAGCACCAGTTTAGATCAGCAAGATGGAACTGTTCCGTCAGTCCGGAAAATCCCGAGAACGTGTTTGGCGGCGTTATGTTAGTCAGTAAGTACATACACGCGCTCTCTCTCTCTCTCTCTTTCTCTTTCTCTTTCTCCGGTTCCTTCAATGGTTTCAACGCAACCGACGACGTGCGTGCGTCGAATGCGCTGCGGCATTAACTTCTTCGTATATAGAGGAGAGGAGGTTGCACACTCTCCTCGCGCGCGCACTTGTGACATCAAGTGCCGCAAGAGTGGTTTGACTTGTGTAGCGCGACAAAAAAATGCGTGCGTTTTGCAGATAGTCGAGAGGCCGCGTTCGTATACGCCATATCAGCAGCCGGAGTCGCTTACAGTGTCACGAGAGCCTGCTCCAGAGGCGAGCTCACCGATTGCTCCTGCGACAACCGAGTGAGAACGCGACGGCAGAACAATTGGGAATGGGGAGGATGCAGCGAAGTGAGTTTCGTAGTTTTTTTCATAATTTTTTTCTTTTTTTTTTTTCCAATAAATCATCGCGTTCGCGTTTTAACTTTGAGACGCAATATTTTTTTTTCATTGTTTAAAATTTCGTTCGTAAGTATAGGATCTTATTTCGCAAAATCTTAATTTTTTCGGTTCGCGCGCTTTTTTTTTGAAGCTCGAGGAAATATACAAAATTATTTAAACAAAAGGCCGATACGAGCAGTAAAATACAGGTTGGTCCTGTAAAATAAGTTGTCTTTATTCAATAAATATAGACGTTTCGGTCACACAATTTTGGACCTTCTTCAGTATGAAAATTAAGTTTAATTAAGAAAAAATATTTTTGTACACTACATCACTAACAGATAGATGAAATAATGTTAATGACTTACAACGATATACTGTGTATTTTTTTTTAATTAAACTTAATTTTCATACTGAAGAAGGTCAAAATTGTGTGACCGAAACGTCTATATTTATTGAATAAAGACAACTTATTTTACACGACCAACCTGTATTTTACTGCTCGTATCGGCCTTTTGTTTAAATAATTTTGACTATTTCACGAGCGATTGATTGACGAGGAAATATAGATAACAGTGAATCTTAATTTACGATCTTACTTTGATTAACTTTGATTAACATCGTATCTCAACACCGATACACGGCCATCGCGATGTTTACAGAGGATTGCAGTTCGCGCGCGCATCAAAAAAAATTTCCCTGACATCTCTCTCTCTCTCTCTCACTCGCTTGTCTTTCGACGCGAATTTTAATACTTACTGCCGAAGACAAAGCTCGGGCAGTAAACGGATGCGTTTCATGCGAACGGCTGACCCCTTGTAGACATTGCCGGCTTACAAGGGGATTACGGAAGCTAAGCTTGTTAAGTTGCAACAACCCACCGGGCTCCCCTTCCCTGCAATCCGGACACGTAACTTACTTGGACGTGAGGAACGAGTTCGCACACACACACACACACACACATACATGCGAGAGCGTTGTGTGACACGTGCAGAGATAGTTGATGTACGCGCCTGTCACATGGTTATTGGTCAGATTATCTACAAATTGCGTGCGTGTCTCATATACGCGCTCGAATAATTTATACATCTTCAAGTGTGAGTCGATCATAATATTTGCAAGCGAAACGAAGTACAGAAATGTCGAAGTTAATAAATTCAGTTAAAATTTCAAGTATAATTTTTACGTCACGCGCGAGAGATTTATTCGTCGCGAAAAGACTTTTCTTTCACAAAAAAAATGTTAAACCAAAGTATTTTTCTTCTCTTTAATCCGATTTCGCGCGCACAAGAACTGTTTTTCTTATCCAATTTTCAAATCTGACTTACGAAGAACACGCTGTGATTGCAGTAAGTAAGGTGAAAAGTATAAAACATCGTGGGAAGTCGCGATGTCTTAATGAGAGAGAAGCTGAGCACTTGTGTCGACAAATGACTCGGGATAACTTCGGTGACAGATCCTAGAAGAGATAATTATGTTTGCCCGTTTTCCGATTCGGATCAGTAGAAACTTGTTCCGACCGAGTCACCGACGAGCTATTAGTCATCAAAAATTTGTCAGATATCTTGCGAATTACCCGCACAGACATAAACACGACCATTAGACATTCACAGCCCGATTCGATATCCAATAGACGTCTTAATGGGATTTCCGCGTCGGTAGTTTGCAGAATCGATGGCAGTAACAAGCCGAACAAGCTGGTGATAATTAAGAATAGATTGATTGTTGTTTACTATACGAAAAAAAAATTCGAAAACTTATTTCTTAGTTGTCATATATATCACCGGTAAGATACTTAAAGACCGGCAGCTTTCGGTGACTTACACCCCCCCACCGGGGAGCTGTCATCGATAAGTCGACGTGCGTGATGCCGGTCGGAAGAGAGAGAGAGTAAGACGATGCTCTCTCCCGGCACAAGGATTACGTTTAGACAGCGTTCTGACAGCGAAGGCAAAGAGGGCATAATCTCGACTTGTTGACAAGTATGAGAAAACGTTCGAAAATAGCGAAGTACGCGCGCAAATAAAGAAATATACTAAAAATTTTTTAAATATTTAATGTGCGTGTATTAAAAAAAATTAATGTAACACAATATAGGTATATGATGTGTAAAAACTACATGAATAATAAAACAAAATTGAGAAAAAATTTTGAATTTATACCGTGACAAAATTGCACTGTGAGCTCTTAGAAATATTTGTAGAAATATTATGCTTTTAAACAATTATGACTTAAGCAAGGATCCGGACCGGACTGAAACCGAAACCGATAACCGGACCGTAACCGTAACCGAACCGAAAACTATTTCCGATGTTTATTTCGGTTCGGATTTTTCTAACGCTGTTAAACGTTTTACAAGAATTTTTATTTGGAAGAATTTGAAAATCACAGTCGTCATTGGCAACTCATTAGATTGTGTTCGAAGCCAGAGCTAATCGAATTTTTATCAACAAAGATGACACGTATGTTTATAATCTTACATATTTTTAATTCTTCGTAGATACACAGTTGATGTTAAAAGGGAACTTCTCTTCCAATTTTTGAATATAAAATAAATATTACATAATGAGATTTTTATAAAGGTAAAGCTAAACTTTTTTAAAGCCTTAAAAATTTTATTTTAATTTTGCCAGTTCTTTTATAGCATTAAAAAAGTTTGAAAATTTCAATTAACCTTTTAAGATTATAAGTGTTTAGTTTTAGGTAAGTAGCGATATAACAGGATATTCACAGAAGGTTAGGTTACTTTAAAATTTTTTTATTACAACAATTTACATGTATTATAATAATTTACGTAAGATTAATATGTTATAAGAAATCAATAACAAACTTGAAACGACCATTGGCGACACTGCAAGTTGCTGTAGAAGACAAAACAAAAGCAAAAAAGACAAGATATGATTTTCAAGACGAAATTTCCCACTTAAATGATTTCTAAATTAATTTATTTTAGTTAATAAACGTGCATTTGTTATACTATGCAATTTATATTATATTTATTAAATTATCTTTTTTATTCATTATAAATTTAACAATAGATACTTAAACACTTGTAACCGAAAAAAATCGATATCCAAACGGTTACGGTCACCGTTTTTGATAAAAGGACGGAAACCGAAACCGAAACCGAAAATCAGGTACAGCATCGGACCGTAACTGTAAACGGACCGAAATGAAATTTCGGTCCGAGTCCCTGGACTTAAGGCTCGTTGAAATTAATAACGAGAAATATATAAGGCCTTACGAGCCATTCGCAGGATGTTTGAGCGGAAACTGTGCGTGTATATATATATATATATACACATGTAACGAATTCAACTTGTAAATTTTTACAAGTGAGTGTTTTTTTAGAATTGAGATTTCAATTCAAAAAAAAAAAAAACTCGTAAAAATTTACAAGTTGAATTCGTTACATGTGTATATCGTCACTCCCTACGTAATAATCCCGTAACTCTAAAACGCAAATTTTAGAGGAGAGCAGTTTAAAAGTATAAAGCTTCATATATTTCCCTATAGTTAGGGATCTTTCGGTTTCAAATTTGTACCTTATTTATGAATATTTCTTTTTAATATTTAGTGACCATAAAGAACATGACTTTCTAAGTGTCATTATGCAATAAACTGAAAATCCCATATGTGACACTTATGTAATTATACGTAGGGAGTGACGATATATGTACACAGAAAAAAAAAAAAATGGAGTTGCTTCAATTAAAGTTGACGTCACGGGCTGCCACAAAAATAAATAGTTCATTCAATTGCACATGCGATTAATTTAATGTCTAGATTCTTAAAGCAACTATCTGCTGTGTATAGCGCAATAATATTGATGTTGCATAAACAGGATATATTTCAATTAATACACCGAAAAAATTGTATTCTTGTTTTGAGGATATCCCACTTACTTTAAGTATATTTTATACTAAAATAGGCGCCAAGAAGAGTTTCTTATTTTAAGAGGAAAATCCTTTAAATAGTAATATTGATAAGAATATATACTGATTAAAATATAAAAAGCCTCTATAGAAAAACATAAATATATATCTCACTATCGAAAAAGACTATATTCTTAAATTAAGAATATATTCTTAAAAATAAAGAATATATTCTTAATTTCAGATGAATATCATCTAAAATCTTTAAGAAGATTTTTTAAGTATAAAATCTTCTACTTACAAGAATATAAATTTTTTCGGTGTACTGATACTGTTGATTCAACATCATTTTTTTTTCCGTGTATATACACGCCACAGTTTCCGCTCAAACATCCTGCGAACGGCTCGTAAGGCCTTATATATTTCTTGTTATTATGCTTTTACTTTAACTCTACATTTAACTATCTACCACGGTGTCTACGCAAAGCTTCTGTCACGTGCGCTGCATCTGTAACCATGAATTGTAACGTAAAGCTGTTCCAAAGTTTTAGAGCTCCGGAGGAATCTTAGGTTCTACATATATTTTACGTGAAATCCTAAGCGAACTTAGGATTCGCCTAATCTCCACGGTTATTGTCGGCTTATTGTTGGATCCGTAAAATGAACTCAGACGGATAACATTTCATAGAGAAACGTAACGTTTATTTACGTAGTCGGTCGGGTAGCATGTAACGAACGTATCTAATACAAAGAGATTTCTTTAGATTTTTGTTTCGCGCGAGGCACTCACGAACGTTTGAAGAAAAAAAACGCTGTTAAAAGTTCACTCAAACGTTTGTTAATCTTCGCGAGATGCATTTTTAGTTTTTTTTTACATTGTTAAAACAAAATATGATAAATAATCTCCTCTACCCAGGATATACATTTCGGAGAGAAGTTTTCGCGAGAATGGTCCGAAGCCGGAGAGGAACCGATAAAAGAGGGCGTTCTGCACGGGCCGAAAGGACTGGCTGGCCAGCTGATGAGGAAACACGATAGCGAGGCCGGTAGACGTGCCATTCGCTCTAGGATGCAACGCGTATGCAAGTGTCACGGTGAGCAGAAACAACATCCCGACTTGTACTTAACAGTCGAATGTTGTTTCAACAGATGAACTTCCGCGTTCACGAAATCCGAAATTATCGAGAAAATATGCAAATTTATGTAAATAAAATAAATTGTACTTTCACACAAAAGTCATCAATATTTTATCTATATACGCTTTAATGAATTATTTCCTATTTTTATCTCTTTTTTTTTTTTTTATTATTATATCAGGCATGTCCGGTTCGTGTAGCGTGCGCGTGTGCTGGAGAAGACTTCCGGCGTTCAGAATGGCCGGAGTGGCCTTGGCGGCTCTACACGAAGGCGCCGCTCTGGTGCGACTGGCGCAGCGCGGCGGACGTAAACCAGCCAGGCTCAGACCTGCGCGTCCCGATCTCAAACGACCGAACAAAACGGATCTAGTTTACCTCGAGGACAGTCCCGATTATTGCGAAAGAAATCTCACGTGAGTGATTTTCCGATTTTCGATAAGTTATTTCTGATCGAAGATCACAGACATACACGTCTCTTGTATACACGTATGATAAAACATCTTGACATTTTGTTTCGAAACAAATTTCACGTGATTTCAAAACGCAAAATCTAAAAATATCGCAATTTCGCGGTTTCTCCAGGCTCGGCATTCCCGGCACACGAGGAAGAATATGCAATCGGACGTCTCTTGGTCTTGACGGATGCCGGCTGCTGTGCTGCGGCCGAGGCTACCAGACGCGGGTGCGGGATGTCACCGAGAAATGCAAGTGTCGATTTGTCTGGTGCTGTCACGTGAAGTGCGAGTTGTGTCGGCAAACGCGGGAAGAGCACGTGTGCAACTAAAGAGAGAGAGAGAGAGAGAGGAGAGAGAAAGATAGAGAGAGAGACGGTAAATGCATTCCCGAGGAGTTCGGCCTATCTCTGTGTAGGAAACAACGTGCTCATAAAACATCGTTAAGTTTCGGATTAATTATTCGTTGCCGCGCATTTTACGTTTTACATCCTCGTCAATTAGCGCCGCGAGAGGCTACAACAACGATTAACGTTGCTCTCTGTCTGATGACGGTCGTACGAGTGAGTTTCGTTCTTTTTAGCAGTCAGCCGGGTCATATGAATAAACAAGCAAACGCTCTCGTTCTCGTCGATCGACCAATTGCGACATAAATTTTTCATATATGCGTTTACAAAAATAACATATGTGAACGTTCAGTTCAAACAATCTGTTTAATTGCACACTCCTATCAAGAACATTTGCTCCGTTGTGTTACTCATATGACTTGTGAACTCAAAACGTATAATCTAAATCTCGAAACAGTTAGAGATGCGATTTTCACGTCTGCGCTAAAGAGAGACTCAAGCGAGTGAATAATCTTGCGACGATTAAAAGTTCTCAGTATTATTAACGTCGTGTAGCCGACATTAATGTCCGCGAAGTAGCTTGTCGCGCGTGGCTTATCAAACTGGTCTCTTGACTTGTCAGGTGCCACGTTTACTCGGTGAACGTTAATGCATTGAAAGTAGATGTGTTTTACTTTAATTTACATTTAATCGCGTAATTCTATCTCTCAACTTGGACGCGCGCACCGCAAAAGAGAGACTTGTATTCCAGGGACACATTAACATGCCATGCGTGTGCTCGCTTCGCATCATCGGGCTCGTGTAATCTGATGATTCGCGCGAGCAAACAATGCGAATGGCGATATATAACGGCAAGTTATTTCTCTCTCTTCCGACTATTATATATATATATATATATTTATACATATATACATAATAATAATATATATATATATTTATTTATTTTATACGTCTATATTTACATACATATATATATATACATATATATATATATATATATATTGTACGATTAAAACACACGCATTCTTTTTTAGCGAGAATCAAACGATAAGAATTTTTGTCGGAACTTTATCTCGAGTTTTTGTTACGTATTTGTGCATTTTGCAATCGCTCGCCACTTTGATGTGCCAATTTGCTATTTCCGCGTATACGATGCAAAACGAGAACGAGAGAGAATGAGAAATGGAGCGAGAGAGAGAAAAAAAAATGAAAGAGAAAGAGAGGTAAGCGAGGGGCAAAAGAAACACACACGCGACGATTCTTTTTTTATTTCCGTGCTCTCGCGCGTACAATTGCACGCAAGTGTGTCGAAATATAAACACGGATATATCTTCACGGTGTGTGTGTGTGTTCAGATATCATCTCTCATCGATGATCTCTCTCTGTGGAATCTTCTTTTTTCACTTTTTAAACAAAAACGTAGCAACAACTACTCGCGAGAACTCGATGAGAAAACGAATTGGGGAGAGAAAAAATGACGCGAAATCCAATCGAGTTTTCGCGCCTTGACTCGAGCAAAACGAGAATGGGGAACAATTCTGTCAACGCATGTAAATAATGTCTCACCTGGTTTTTCTCTAGATTTATACGTTCACGCTATCATTGTTGTATATACATTATTAAACGTTTCATTCGCTTCGTTATTTAGACGCTAAGTTTATATTGCGTTGTGTGCGTTTACACACGAAATATTTTTACCTCCCCCATCAGCGATTTTATCTCACACACACTGCCACTCTACTTCTATTTAATATATATATATATATAGATATATATATATATATAAATATATATATACAACCGCTTTGTCTCGCATGCCGCGCCAATTAAAGGCAGTCTAGTCATTTACGAATTTTTCCGACCCATATCAAGCCGACGCACTTTTACGCTCACACAACGAAATGTTATACGCGAGGTTTTCGTATTCTCTTCGCTCGAACGAATTGTAGTAGTTTATAAATAACGTATCGCGCAATTATTTCACAAAATAATAGACATACGCATTAATTGTTTTTTTTATACTATAGATATATATTAAATATGTCACAGAAATTATCCGCAACCTTTCGAATTTGCTGGAAAATTATTTGACGGAGTCGAATCGAAAAAAAAAAAAAACACTCGTCTCGAATAATTTGTATATTATTAAATTACTTCGCACATGCGGTTTTACACAAAATTGTATTTACGTGTGTGCGATTGATAAGGACAAAACGAATATCTGAGAGATTAGTTGACGAATGACGCGTCAACGAATGTCAACACGGGAGATCGTATTATTCTAATTGATGTTGTATCATGTGAATAGAAAAATAAAAAAAAAATAAAAAAAATAAAAAAAACACATTTGGCAATATACGTGAGGTTGCGCGCGTATCTATATTTCATAGCTTACTACTCGTTTAGAATACGGCCTTATAAGCAGCGGCGTAGTAGATATATCGCGATTCGTCCGTAATATTATTATAAGAATTTATATATTAGCGATAAAAAAAATTTAAAAAAAAAATTTAAAAAAAAAAAAAAAAACACGAGATGCGAACACGCTCGTGCCCTCAACGACATACAGAACTTCACAGTATTGACAAACGTGTAATTTATTTTCTTCATCATACACATCACGTTATTATTCGTAGTTCATTCGTCAGTCAGGTATTATGAGCAAGCATTATTACAATAACACAATTGTAATAATTAGATTAAATAATGTAATAATTAGTAACAACGTCTCTTCGCTATAAAAAAAAAAAAAAAAAAAAAAAAAAAAAAAAAAAAAAGATATAACTATGAGATATTTTAGTTGGTAAAAA